GCAGTGGATTTGCAGTGTGGTTTCTGGTTGTTACAGACTGCAAGGAGCGCTCCTGATCTCTCCATCTGACTGTGTGTCTCTAGGTAAGTGATAACACCTATCCCTGCAGCTCTCTGGTTATTCCATTGCTGGCTGAGTGCTTTTGTTCACTAAGATCTGTGGGTAGGGGGAATGTTGAAACGTGAAAAATATGTAGCTAGACTTTGCATAAAGATGAGAAATGTCAGTTGTCAGATGGGATTTATCAGCTTTGAGTGCATCCACTGAATCAACAGAGACAAAGTTTAAAGTTCTCATGAAGAAATCCTGGCCTAAGTAAAGGCAGTGGGAATGTTGCCGGGGCAGAACTTAATCCAAGCCCCTCCCACCCTTTTAAGGGCTGTATAATCTTAATAAATTCTTCCTGTTCTTCTCAGGTCAGTAGAATTCTATGCATTATCTTTAAATTTACATACCAAACTCTGAGCCAGACCCTGCTTGGCTTAACTCCCATACTGCACTAGTCGTTTCTCCTTAGTTTTGACTGAGTAGCAACAGAAGGTGCTGATCTTTATCTACGGGTTTTTCTGAAAAGCTCAGAGTTTGCTGATCAAGGGGCCCATCAGGACTTCCTGAGAGGCTTTTGCCAGAAGGGATTTTACAACAAAAGCTTTCTGAGCTGAGCCACACTTGCATGTTGGGTTTAGCATAGGATCCCGATTATAAGATTTTCCAGAAGCCTGTTAATGTAAACCTCAGATAGAACCAATACATGGAGGAGAAACAAGATTCAAATTCTCAAACTGGACTATAACAAATGTACAAAATGCAAACGCTACAAAAGGAAATAATAATTTAAAAAATCTCCTTCTGTTTTTGTAATAATAAACTGTTTTAACTGTTTGCTGTTTTTTTGTTGTTGTTGTTTATTTCTAAATAAGCGGATACCACAGTAAAATCAGTTCTTACCTGTGCTCGACAGAAAGAAAAGAAAGAGAAGCAAACCAAGAAAACCGCAACCACTCTCATGTTGAAGTTTTATCTCTTTGTAGAGAAATTCCCCTGGCCGGGATTTTCCCAATCGCCAGTTATTAGGTTTGTGTTTAATTTTTAACCATTGGTAAAACACTTTGAAGTGGACTCAGAAACAATTACAGGAGCATCAGAGACTAACGGATGAATCTGATCTCTCCACACGGATCCCACCCCATTTAACCTGTTATACTGTAAATAGAGAACCAAAGCCAACGATTACAAAGGAGCGCTCAGCAGGGTCTCTCGCTCCCCTCCGGTTGCCAAAGCAGACCGACCGAGCGGCGGGGCCGATCGCCTGGCAGCAGGCAGCCGGCTCTGCAGGGTGCTGTCAGGGGAGATGCGCTCTTAGGTGACATACGTCTGTCCCCGTGCAGGCAGGCAGGCAGACGGAAGCAGCAACGCTACTACTTCCGTGCGAGCGTGTAACCAGCTGAGATTTGCTCAGAGAACTGCTGGGGCAGCGGCCGGTCCCGCTGCATCCCTCCTGCGGGTGGCTTCCGGGAGAACCCCGGTCTGGCCGGGACCACGGAGCTGCAGCCCCTGGGAAGGCCGTTTTGCGACAGTGCCTCTAGGCGCTTGTTTCTCCTTTACGGCAGGATGGCTGCTTTTCCGGCGCGTGGCGGTGACGTCATCAGGCGGCGCTTGTATGGACGCTGGGTACGCACGTGTGCGGGGCTAGGGTTTGCGGTGTGGGTTGGGGCGCGCGCGGGCGGTCGTTAGGGCCGTTAAAGCTGTTGGTCTGACTTCACGGCCCGGCGCCGCTTCCAGGGAGGCCGTCCCGTGGGAAGCTGGCGGCCCGGCGCTTCTCCGTGGGGCTGGGGCTGCGGAGTGTGGTCGTGACACTGACGTGGCCCGTCCTTCCTGATGGATAGGCATTGCCGTAGAATCGTTACGGTTGGAAAAGAGATCATCTAGTCCCACCTTGCCCAGTAGCCGTGTCAATCAGTACTACTTCCACGCGGTTCTTCAGCGCCTGCGGGAACGGTGACCATCACCTTCCTGGGCAGCCTGTGCCAGTACACGACCACTCCTTCGGAGAATAAACTTTTCCTAATTAGTGGGGAAACTTGATTATGGCTTATCTGCATATTTTCAGTTGGGGCTGAGGTGGGAAACCATTAAACAGGACCATCGGGAGACCTTGATTCAGACAACATGTTAAACAACAAATACGTACTTCTTAAACAACCAATTTTTGTCTACAATGTAGGAGGCAGTAGAGAATGTCCTTTCGTGGAAGAGGAGGTGGTGGCGGAGGGCGAGGAGGTGGCGGAGGAGGAAGAGGAGGAGGTGGCTTTAATCGTGGAGGAAGTGGTGGTGACAGAGGTGGCTTTAATCGTGGTGGACGAGGTGGCTTTGGACGGGGAGGTGGACGAGGAGGCTTCAACAGAGGAGGATATGACCAGGGCCCTCCGGAGAGGGTAGTTTGTAAGTTATATGCAGAGGCTGTATTTATTTAGCTCGTAGTGAGTGTTGAAGATTTTCAGATTGTTTGTTCTTTATTTCAGTACTGGGGGAGTTCATGCATCCATGTGAAGATGATCTTGTTTGTAAATGTAAAACAGAAGAAAACAAAGTTCCTTATTTCAATGCACCAGTGTACTTGGATAATAAGGAACAGATTGGCAAAGTGGATGAAATTTTTGGGCAGCTACGAGACTTTGTATCCTTCACAAATCCTGTTGGCTTCTTCAGTGGGTTTGCTCTAAAATATGAAAATATTTAATTTCCTTATCCTACTTTATACACTTAAAACAGGTTTAGAACACCCTTCTGATCTGAATGTGTGAATTTGCAGAATTACTTTTTTCATCAATATTACTCAAAGTTCAGAATTTTTTTTTCTTCTTATAATAACAACCGAGAAATATAAAGGGAGCTCAAGTGTAGTTTGCAGTTCCTTAGCTCCCCATTTAATCTTGAGTACTGTTGAACAGAGTCAGCCAGCAGCTTACAAACAACCATCCTTGAACATTTGAGAACCATAGGATCCATAGTAGTTATCTGTGGAGTTACAGAGAGCATCCACCATATCACTGTAGGTTGAAACAGAGCTTGTGGTTGGGTTGAGCAGCCCCTGCTGGCTCATTTCTTTCCACAGCCAGGTAGCTGTATGGGCCAGGACAGTCATAACAAAGCCACTGCACCATCCACATTGTTCTGGATAAGTCTGAGAGACAATCACTTGTCAGACAAGTTTGTTTCTTTATGGTTACATTTTTATGTATTCATTTCTGCTGGAATGTTCTTTATGCCTCAATATATGGGAAGGAAAAAGTAATGTTTGTATAAAATGCTGTCTTTGTAGCTATGAGGAAAATTAGAAACACTTATTCCTGATCATTAGGTTGTAATTTTTCATCTGTAGTGAAGATGTTTAGCTTCATTTATGGAGTATGAATTTAGAAAATGTCTAAAGTGTGTAAATTCTTCCATGTAAATAATCAGAAGTGCTACTTTTATTCCTGGTGTGTTCCTTAAAGAAGCTAACAGTATTTTTCAGTGAAACTATCTGAGAACATGAGAGCCTCTTCATTCAAAAAAATGCAAAAGGTTAGTTGATCTCAGTAACAGACTTCTATTGTGTGTCATCAGTTAGATGTGTAATCAAATAGATAATAAAAGCTTTATTAAGAGATTTTACTGACTTTAAAAGCTAGCTGTCCTTTGAAAATGTGTTTGTTTACTCATCCTTTTCACTTTTACATCTGCTATGCGCTTCCCTCTCCTAAATAACAAAAAAATGAAGATGTAGTGAATGAAACTTAATAAGATGTATGTCATCTGTATTTTAATAACTTCATAACACTGATTTATTTTGCGTATGATTTTTTTACTTGGCTTTTTGCAAAAGGCATTTTGGCATAATGAGTTAAGATGAAATTGTGACTGTTTCTTAGGGATTTAACCTGGGTTTTCTCAAAGCCTAATGGAACTTTCTTCCTGCAGTTTTACATTGATCCAGCAAAGCTGCTACCTCTTCAGAGATTTTTACCACGGCCTCCTGGAGAAAAAGGTGCTCCTCGAGGAGGTGGTAGAGGAGGACGTGGTGGAGGACGTGGAGGAGGAAGGGGTGGTGGTAGAGGTAAGATCCCAAGAATGAAAATTGCAGAAAGGTTATTTCATTTCTTTGTTTTTGGTGAAGTTACCATTACATACTTGACTAAACACTTCTATTGCAAAGAAAAATGATAGGTGCTTTACAGTTTCATAACTCAGTTTATGTTTGATAAATCAGTGGAGGAGACAGTGATATCTTTCCAAGGCAAGAGCTAGTTTCTGTAATGCAGAAAAGGGAGTACACTGATCTGTAACCAAGACAGAAAGCATAACTATTAACCAGCTTGTGGTAAAAGGTAGTGGGTAATACCCATTCAAAACAATGAAAGCTGTACTTTTACTGTATTCTAAAATGTAGTTTGGACAAAATACTTGAAATGCAATGTTTGAGAGAAGGAGTAAACAATCTGTAGATGTCATCCTTTACTTTTTAAGCACAGTATATGATGTACTCAGTTAAAGTTGAGTTCTCACCACTCTGCCACCTTGTGTGCAAGGAGGCGCAAAAATGTCTTTTTTCTTTTATTGTTTTGAAGATTTCATGTGTAATAATTGTAGTTAACAGTTTTCGTGACAGCTAAAAATTATCTTGGAGCTTTATTAATGCATTAGTGTTTTAGACATTGGATACTGGATATTCAACAACACTTAACATGCTGCGGATGGTCCTCAGAAGAAAGAGGGCACTAGGATGAAGCAGTTGGCCGTTTCTGATTTGGTTTGGTTTTCCTAACTGTCAATGAAAGTTGTTGTTATATATAACAAAATTTACATGCTCCAGAAAGTGTAACTTGTTTTCTACATTCAGGAGGATTCGGAGGAGGAAGAGGTGGAGGAAGAGGAGGAGGAGGATTTAGAGGTGGAGGAAGAGGAGGAGGAGGATTCAGAGGAGGAAGAGGTGGTGGAGGAGGTTTTAGAGGTGAGTGTGCAGATGTTATATTTTTTCCATAATGAGAATGGCTCTCAGTTTCTAAACTTTTAAGTATTAAACAGAATGCTGTATTTTCTTTTTCTCTTGTATGAGTGTTCACAGTTTTTATGTAAAAACTTGACGTGCTTCCCAGTAACTTGTTTAAACCAAAGTTCAGTATTCTCTGTTTTTTGATGCTTTATAAAGACCGTGCTAGTTTCTACATGAAAAGGCACTATAAGAACTGGTAACAATGATAAATTATTTTATCAATTCATGAAGTTTTATATGCATAATTTATTTACTTGAACAGAGTCTAAGATAATTTGAATTAAGTATCCATGATAATGAATTAAGTATCCTTTTTCCCTCTTAAAATAGGGAGAGGACATTAAAAATGGAGCAATGAGAATCTTCCTGCTGATTTACCATGTCACCTGCAGAAGTGAAGAGCAAGAAAAAAAGTTATAAAAGACCATGAAAAAAGTTGTTTGTAAAGAACTGGAAGCTATGAAATGACAGTTAAGGACTGTCAGCACATGAACAAAGCGTGTAGCCCTTGGTGAAGAATGCAAGACTGCTCAGAACATACTTGAACTTTTTAAACTAAGACAAGGTTCAATGTTATTCTTAAATTGTTTGTTTCTGGCAAATGACTTTGTCAGTGCTTGACTTCGTGTTGGAGTCTGGAGTAAACAATCAACTGAAACTTTTTTTTATGAAAAACCCCCTTGGGTTCACTGCATGCACATTTGTCACTACGAACTTGTAACCTCTGTGTGACTTGGATAAGATCCCTTGTTCTCATTGTTTTATATGGAGCTTTTGGGTCACCCTAAAAAGGACATGTGATTTAAATAACCGTTATGGACCATTTTTTACAAACTAAGCTTCACATTTTTTTGTCATTAGAACTTTTTTTAATGCATAAAAATAAATATGAGAAAAGGAAGATAGCAAATAATATTTTGTAGATTTTTTTCTCTGAATCTTAATGAAAGCAAAGGCATTAAGACACACTCTCAGAAGATATTATCTGATGAGTAATACAGAGTTAATTCTATTTGTAGGTCACCTCATTGTATCTAATTTCACTGATAATAAAGTTGCTAAGAGTTTTTAACTGCTCCCCTCTTCCTCTTAGCCAGTTTCTCTTGAGGTTTTGATGTCCTGGCAAATCACCTCTGTTGTGCTCTGAGCTTGCAGAGGGCTAAAATGAAATAGCTCGTTGTGGAAATGCTGAGTCATGGCCTGAACCAGTGATTGAGCACCTGGTGGGATTGCAGGGCCAACCTGGGGGAGCTGAGGTGCATGCAGAAAGGCCAGAAGGGATGGAGTCGGGATCCACCCCTTCCTGACCTCATTTAAGGATTGGTAGTGGAGGTGTGGGTATCTTAGTGGAGATACCTGCCTCCCTGAGGCCTTCCAAAGGTAAGTGTTTTTTTTTCCTTCATTTCTTTGTCCATGGCTGCTGCATTTGGGCTTGTCCTCATTTGCTGTAGCCAACAACTTTGCCACCCTGCTATTATCGTTGTACTTTTCATCACATCACAGCATTACTCCCATCATAGGGCTCTTCTGCATGTGGCCTTTTCAGTTTAGTATTGCTTTAAAAATACGTGGGAAATTCTGTGTGAATACATTTCCAGTCTCTTAAATCAGATTTATTATGAGGAGTGTTGAAAAGCTAGTAAGTGTCTCTTAAAGCACAGAGAAGCACCTTGTCATCTGTGTTTAACTTTGGAAATTGAGTAAGAACAGGAAAGAATCTGTCTCTTTGCATTTCATCAGGAGCAAGGAGTCCATTGGCAGATCTCATACCAAGCATTTTTGAGAAGAGATCTGTAGATTAATTGACATGAAAACATTTAGACAGCATTGTGTTTGACATGGGTAGAAGTATATTTCAGAACTGATCATGCTGTTGTACTTTTAATTGCCATAATTGCTGGATCCATTAGCCTTGTGCTTACCAAAAGAAACTGAGGTTATTTGTCAGTGCTAATATTGGACAACTACTAGTCACTAACAAACACAACTCTTAGTTCTGAATTATTTCTGAAACAAAGATTGAGCAAGCTAGCACAAAAGCTTCAAGAACTCAGCTGTCTAGTCTGAACACCTACTCTATATAGGGCAGCAGTTAAAAATGTTTAGAAGAATTTAATTTTCTATTAGATCTGCTTTTATGAGAAGAAACCAAGTCTATTCGATCACAACACCATCAGGGATTATAGAATACTAATTATTTTGTTGGTGTTAGTACTCACTTAACTTTAATTATGTCAATTAAATACAGACTTTTGAAAGCATTTAGTCTTTTGTTACTAGCTCTATGGAGATAGAGCTCTGACTTTAGATACTGTAGAATTGTAGGCATTGTAAGCCATCTCTGTCATACCACATGCAACTGTGTGATACCAGTGCTTCAAAACCATGTTTGTAAATGCATTCTCTGCAATAGATGCATTCTTCACCAATGCTTCTGTGCCCAGTTCTGGATAGCTGACGTAGATCTTTCCTTATTCTTCTGGCTTTGGAAGACGGGGATAATGCAATCCTTATTCTTACACCCAAGTTTGTGCTCTGTGCTGCTGTTCTTGCTGCATGCTTTAGAGATGTGCTTTCTCTAAGGGTATCAAAAGGCTGGCTATCTTGACATCACCTGTCAATTCAAATGTGGCAAATGACAAAGTACCATCTTGCAGCCTAGAGCAAGAAGTGAATAGTTTGAATCTTACAGCAGGTGGAGTCATGAGTCATACTGAAGTCTGAAGCCACTGAAAGGCAAAAGCCTTGCACTTTTGTACTGGTGCAGTTACTTTCAGTTTGGCAAAGCCATATCTTGGCAATAAATGGTATCTTGAGAAAATCAAGGTTAGTATGTGAAACAGGCAAGTAAAGATTTGGAGGCCCCTTTTCAGGACATCTTGTCAGTCACCTGAAGGTCTCTTTACAGAATCAATTTTTTTAAAGTAACAGTTTAAATCTAGAGGCTGTGTGTGTGAGAAATTAATAATTTATTAATTTGCCTGCCTTTGGTTTTGAACCATTTAAATGTCTGTGGAGTTGAGATTAAAGGGAAGTACTGCCCTATACAGCCCTCTAGTGTTGATGCACTGTAATGAATGTGGGAGGATTTTTTTAAAAAGCAAGCAGTATTTCTACTTCTACCATTTGTGGATTGAAATATTTCTTTAAATATTTTACATCTAAATATAATGTTTACAACTTACTAAACCAGGTAATAAATCTTGCATTGCCCCATTTCTGTATAGACACCTACAAATTGAAGGATTGACTCAAATATAAACTACACTATTTTTGTACTGATCTGAGCCAAGTCAAAAGGAAAAACTCCATAATTCAAGGGTGTTTGTTATATCTTAATAGTGAATTCATTGCTTTATATTTTGGCTTTGTTTTATAAACTGCAGTGTTCTGGGGGGGGGGGGGAAAGTACTTCTTTTGGAGATGTGCCTAGATTACCTGAGCTGTAGGAGCTGGGGGTGTTTAGTCTGCAGAGGAAAAGGCTCTGGGGAGATCTCACTGTAGCCTTCCTGAACTTGAAGGGAGCTTAAAAGCAAGAGGGGGAGCAACTTTTTCATGGTCTGATAGTGATAGGGCAAGAGGGAATGACTTTAAACTATAAGAGGGGAGATTTAGTTTAGATGTCAGGAAGAAATTCTTTACTCGGAGGGCGGTGAGGTACTGGCACTGCTGCCCAGAGAAGCTGTGGGTGCCCGAACCCTGGAGGTGTTCAGGACCGGATTGGATGGGACCCTGGGCAGCTGAGCTGGTGGGGTGGCAACCTTAACCAAGGCAGTAAGCATTGCAAGCTCTGACTTCTGTGCAAGCTGCATGATTGGAGATGCTTTTGAAAATATTGCCAAGGTTTCAGGGGAGGGAAGTAAAGATATCAAATTATCATTATGCTTTTATCTTTCAAGATGGAATGATTAAATACTAGGGAAGTAGCTTAATCACTGAACAGATAATTTTCCCTTTCAAATTCTTCCCACCCTGTTCCTGCCTAATCCTCTTCTGACAGGGAAAACACCTCATTTGATACAAGTGCCCTGCAAGCTAAGAGTGAGTGTAGTTCTATGCTAGTAAAATGTTTGCTGGTAGTATTGTGACACATGATCTGTAGCAATGATGATTAATTGTCATGATTGCATAAGTTTTATACCAAAATTCGCTCACCCATAGGTTGAAATGGATGAAAAGTAGAGGATGTCTATTTTAAAAAGCTGAGGTTGGATGGGGAAAGCTCTGTGAGTGCTTCATGGGTTAGAGAAGAGAGGTATATGACCTTCCTATGGGGATGGCTTTGTTCCTCAGTGCTGCCTGGGGCAGTACATCCTTCCTGCTGCTCGCACACGTGGTCTGAGCTGCCTGTGAGCTGCATACAACTGAAGAATTTTTATATCACTTTTATATATAGTATGGGTACAAATTGCTTGAAGGAGAACAAGTGGTAAAGGCCTTTGATTGTTTGGATTGATGCTGCACGTAAGCTCTTTGGGCAAAGGTTTGTTGTTGCTCATATTTACACAGGATTTTGTAAAAGGCCTTTGTGATCTCCCTCTATGCTGCTACCTCATAACTGAAGAAACAAAAACTGTGTCACCTTTGGAAAGTGCCCAATAATTTTCTGTTTAAGAAAACTTGCCCAAGCCTACCTGAGTAAGTCTGAGAGAAGGAGAGTGTTCAGACTTTATGGCATGTTCAACACCCATTTTCTGCAGACCAGGCCATTTTAGAAATGTGACGATTGAATTTTCCAAATGTCAAGCTTTACTCCAGAAAATACTGGATTGGGTTCTTGTGTCTGCCATCGGTTTGAGTGTTTCAATTAAACTAAGAATCTTGAAGAGGAGAAGGAAGTTTTTAAGAGTTTGAAGGGGTGGATACAGTCAAGGTATTTTAATGAAACTGACATTTGTGTTCGTGCTGTGGTTGTGTTCTCTGCGATGGTTGGAAGTAATTCCAAACCAGGCTGCAGGCCAACTAACCAGAGTCAACTTTCTCCTCAAGCGTTGCACAAGAGATTTGAAGTAAAAAAAGTTTGGGGGCATGTGACTGTTAATCTCTTTAGCAGTAAGAATAAAGTTTAAGCATCCTGTTGGAAATGTACTTGGTTCTGTGTTGCTCTTTGTTTCAATTAACAAGCTTTTTCTCCTGCATAGATTGGGGGTATAAACTTCTTTGTGCTCTGTCCAATTAGATCATGCTTGGAAGCTGTCAGCACTGATGGTGAGGCAACCCTCCCCTGCTTTTTTTTTCAGTTGTTCAGTCTGTTGGATAATGAAAGAATTTGTCTGACGGGGTTTGGTAGTGTTTTGTCCTCTAGATGAATTACTGCAAGATATAGACGACAGTCTTGTGTGTCCAAAATGCATTGGAATGATTCAGCCAACTCCTCAGAAAGTGACGCTGAAGCTCATTCTGCCTTTACACAGACTGAGCACAACATAGTTGCAGCTTACTTAATAACAGCAGGTATGGCATTGATCAACTGTTGCATAACTTTTTATAACAGAACTGTAGATTGAATGCTTATTTTGTATAGTTACAGCAGTGTTTCATTCTGACTTACAAGCAACAAGTTTACTGACAAGTCAACAATCAGGCTGAAGTGTGCAGAAACCTACATGCTCTCTGCTCTATATTTGAAGGCAGCGCTATGTGTTAAAAAATCCTTTTTGTTGATATGTAATTATAGAAGAGAGTAAGAATTAATTTCCGCCAGCTTGCAGAAGAGATAAAAATAGGGCATAGCTGTCACATCTTGCATTTTTCTGAGATGTGCTTGAAGCTATCTTGAGATTTCTCTTGGGCCACATGTTCATAGTAATATATGTGTAGTCTGAGCATGTGAGCGGGTGTCTGATAGGGGGATGTAAGGGGAAGGGTTGGAATGTGACCAAGGGGGAGGGAGGAGCTGGTCATTTATCAGAGAAGAGCAGACTCCACTTGCAGATGTATTTTTCACTGATGATCTGTGTTAGAAGAAGCATGCTGCAAGGCTTGACATGTGTTTTCTGTGACTGCAATGGCCTTTAGCTTAACTTGAATGATATAGGTTTTGTTGTGGGTTTTTTTTTGTTTGTTTGCTTGCTTGTTTAAATTTCTCATTATTGTAACTGTAAGTGTTGCAGACATGTTTTTCTGAAGCATTGACTGCTGTAGCAGTGAAATAATATCTTGGCCAAATACTGAAACCTACTGTGTTTAGAAACATGCCTTCTATATTTTTGGTGTGGAAAATAAGATCAATTTATAAATACATTATTCCTAGACTATACCATACATTTTCTATGTTATAATTAGCTTTTCAAATACTTTAAAATGTTTACTTAGAGATATGAAATAGTCATTTTATTTAGCATATATGACTGAAGTGGGAAATATCAAATCACTGATATAGAGGACATTTTGCATCAATGTGAATGCAAAGGCAATAGTTAATTTCAGATTTTTACTGAAATTGTTGGAATACACAGAGATACATGGGCCTGTTGAGCAGCTGTAGGGCTGGATGATGGTGAAGTACTGGAAGACCAAATAAACTCTGCAGTACCACCACATCGTTTGTAAGTAACTTTGTCTATTAGGTGCTGCAGATATGTACAATGCTTTGTTATATTCCAGTTGATGGTTTACTCTGTATGTAAACAGGTGGTATTTTCAGATAGTTTGAGCATCTGATGCTAAGAATCAAAGCTATCGTGTATTATCCAGAATCATCTCAGCTTCTTCTTAGAAGGAGAGAGTCTAGTAAATATGTCAGCTGTATGTTGGACTTTGCTTTCTTCGTTAGTAAAGTTTTTGACAGTAAGATCTATAGCATGGTTCAAACTATGGTTGTTTACTGCAGCAAATATCACATCAAGAAAATTTAGTTTATGTTAATAAGCAGATATTTAGGAAATGCAATGAAAGTTAGATACAGTGTTCAACATAATGTTCCTTTTTAGAAGGATTGAATGCTTTCTTCTTTTGTAAATAATTGTTTTGTTTTCTGAGGAAGGAAGCCATTAGTAACTATTGCAGTTTACAGCGGTTCAACATATTATTTTCAGTGATGACATGGGGACACTCAAACTGCAGGAAGAAGCCTTATGGTTGTCCTTCACCTTGTAGTGGTGAAGTGCTCTGGGGTGATTGACTAGAAAAGTAAATTCCATGTAATGCATAGACCTAACCTTCTCCTTCACTGTTTTTGATGCCACTACTTGTGTGTTCTTCTGTTAGGGCTTGTTTGCATTCCATCTACCTTTAGTTTTTGCTATTTCTCTGGGAAAAGGAAAAATAATAAACATTTTTGTTCTTGACCATATCATATAAGAGCCTTTCATCCTCATGTTGTCAAAATCACAAGGTGTAATGAAAAATATGTGGGAATAGTTGTCGAACTCTAAGCTATTTCACACACCAACTGGCAGCATCCATGTGCTTTTTCTGAATCAGATGAGTATGTCCTACCTAATAATATGAGGCTACTGAAGTCTGTGGCCCAGTCTGCACTCTCTACCCTCTAAGAAATGGGCTCTGGTTAACTGCTTCCTGGAGAAACTTCACTTTTTTGTTTGACTTATAAATTCTCTCTTTCTGAGAATACTTGTTTATTGAGTCTATATATTTTTTCCTTCTTTGTTCACAATTTAATCCATCTTTTTTCTTGCATGTTACTCTCCGGAACTTTTTTTGGTCTCTATTATTAATTTGTTCTCGTACTTCTGAAATCTTTGATCAGTATGGGCTTGGCACTTTCAGTGCTTTCTTTCTTTCTTTCTTTTTCTTTTTTTTTTTCTTTTTTTTTTTCTTTTTCTTTATTACTGTTAAGTTTGGGCACTAAATCTGTGTCTAGCAGGATCTTTCCTTCACCCTGAAGGTAGGAGTTTACAGTTCTGTTGCATTTCTGATTTCATTCTAGGTAACTGTAAAATCATAGAATCATAGAATCACCAAGGTTGGAAAAGATCTCCAAGATATCATCCAGTCCAACTATCCACCTACAACCAATACTGCCCCTGCTAACTCACATCCCTCAGCACAACATCTAAATGTTTCTTGAACACCTCCAGGAACTGTGATCCATCACCTCCCTGAGCAGCCTGACCACTGTCTCAGAGGATAAACTTTTCCTTATGTCCAACCTGAAATCTTTTAAAGCATGTCTCATAAGAAGCTTATACAGTTTTAGAAACCTGTGGCTGGCATTCTTCCACTGCCAATGTACTACCTACCAATGGGGCTGAGTCGGCTGGCATGGAGGATGCTTCTTGTTGCTCACTTCACATCTGATCCCCAGTTTCCTGCTTTTGTTTATTTTAGGGGCTCAAGGCATCACAGTTGTTGTTCCTAAAGTGTGTGAAATATCATAGATGAGTGGTTGTAACTTCCAATATCACATTTAATGTTATTCTTATGTACTATGCTCTAACTGAGGAAAGGTCAGGGCATGGTCTTTTGAAAAGAGAATAGAAAAGAGAAATAACTGAGAATTAATTAGGCTTTTTCTGCAGACCTTATTTCACTCCTAAGGGCAAAAGATGAATTTCACTGTGCTGGATTGTTTGCTGCTCGGTTTTCATTGAGCCTTATTGTATGTACTTGTTTGTGTCTGCTGGGCCCTGTGACCATTAAGGATGTAAAGTTAATATCCTTTATAGAGCCTGATGTATTATTTCAGACTTTCTTGCTCTGTTTTCAGCACAACACCTATTCACTAAAGTTCTTTATAGAATTATCTGTACAGGACTGTAATGATGCAAATTACAGTGTTCTGGTTCATAGGTGAAGTATTTTAACAGAAAAAAAAAAATCTGAGAAGTATTTCCATGGATATTGCACTGTTTGACTTTTACCAATGTAACATTCCACTGTGCTTGTAATCTCAAGTGCCCAAATTATACAGATATCTGTAAGTTTAGCATTTGATTCAGTAGTATTGCAACAGATGTATGAGACAAGGGAATTCATGAGCAGCTTAAAATCCTGTTACTACTTACAGGGTTGGTTTATGCTTATTTATTTATTTATTTCTTAAGTTTTAATGGCTGTGTTTTCTTGAACGTTGCAATTCTCCATTTTGCTGATAAAGGGCTGTGATGCTTTCTCAGGTGAGGTGCAAACTGGTATTTTAACTTTATTAGCTCTTATGACTGTAACTAATAGTGGGGTAGTAGAAATCTAGATGATGGTAGTTTGCTCTGAATATTTCTGAGTCTGAAGAGAATAAAATCAGAAGAATAAAAAAATCCTATTATGTAAATTCATTCTAAGTGCCATGCAGTAGGGTTTGGCTCAGAGGGAGGAAGAGCAGGAGAAATGAGGGATGTAGAGGTTTTAATATAGGTACCAGGGTTGGACAAAGCTTGCTGATGCAGAGGGTCTTAAGGAGCGGTGTCCTGCACCACTTGGAGAGCATTGTGAGGCTCCAAGAAAATTCTAGAATCATTGGATATGAAGACAGAAGAGTGTGCATGCTAGCTTTAGTCTTAAGTCTATTTTTTTTCTCTATTACAACTCTGTCTACTCACCATTTCTGGTGTTGCCTCATAGCCTTCAGGCAGAGTCTGAACACCTTTTGGTGCCACCTCTGCTGTATATTTCTGAAGAATTAAATGTAAAAGCACTTGTCGTGTTGGGGATTTGGGGATGGCTGTGTTTAAGTTTCTGGAACACAGGGAGATTGAGCACTGGAGTCCTATTTCTGCAAAGAAAGCAGACAAAAATCCTGTGCCAGAGGAAAGAAACAGGGTAGAAGACATGCCCTGCCCAAAAGAACCACAATTATCTCATATTTGTGAGGTAGGAGCAAAATCAGTACACAGCTGGACTTCTTTGATTATGATACTGACTGGAGCTTGTCAGATAAAGAAAACAGCTTTTGTGCAGGCTCAGCATGCCACCAATGTGAACCAAAAATTATGCTTGCAAAGACTTCAGGCCTCACGAGTAGAGAGGAGATTTGCGACTGGCTGGCATGGAGGTAGGCAGGTGGGAACAGTGGAAACTTCTTTTCAGAAATGAAGAACTCAGGTTGTGGTAGAGACCTTCTACTACAAACAAGTGAATCAATGTAAAAGCGCTGCTTTTTTGCCAGTCATCAGCCTGCATTCTTTTTGGCCGTGGAAAACAGCTGTACTCTGTGGCTGAAGTATCTAAATTGCAATTTTCTATGCTTTTGGATGTCTGCTCTGCCTGTTGCCATTGTACAGGAAGTCCTAGGTTTGACAAAACACTCCACTTTTGGCCTTTACTGAATCCAAGTAAGATGAATCTAATTACAAAAGCTTTTTTTTCTTTTTCAGGTGTTTACTCTTTGCAAAATCGTGGTTGATTGAAAATAATTCTTGTTTAGGACTTAAATATTACAGTAGACTGTGTTTTCTTTTGCATGGGTATTACTATCTCATCTACAAATTTTTGTAAAGCTTTTATTTTCTGTTTCCACAGGAGTGATAAGCATTTTCAGTAACATTGTTGTGTTAGGCATCTTTGTGAAGTACAAAGAGCTTCGGACAGCAACCAATGCAATTATTATCAACCTGGCTTTCACTGACATTGGTGTTAGTGGCATTGGCTACCCCATGTCTGCTGCTTCAGACCTGCATGGAAGCTGGAAGTTTGGATATACTGGATGCCAGGTATTGCAATTTAGGCAGGGAGAAAATTTTGAGCACCTAAATGCAAGATAAGTAGTAGCTCTAATTGATATTTGCTCTCCTAAGAGAAAAGATGGAAATGCAAAATTTGACTCTAGAGTTGGAGCTTACGTTCTGTAAAGGCCTCAATTTCTGCATGTAAATTCTGTTTTGAATCCTTTTCCAATCTTTAAATCATAAGTTAGAATTCATTCAAATGTGACCTTACATTTATCAACCAGAAATTTTATATTAGCTTTAAGGAGCAAAGTCTTAGGAAAGGAAATCTCCAAATGAAGAAAGTTATAGTAGTAGCACATGCTTGTTTGATGACTCGTTTAGTGCTAAACAGACTTTGGATATGACTGCTGTTTTGATGATGAGCTTGACAAACTTTAATGAGTTTTGCCTAATGAAAACATCTTCCTTTGGATGGAACAAAGGATATCCAAAGAGAAAAGGTCTGTGAGACTATTAAAGGGCACTATCAAAAATTTTGGCTTAGTTTAAAGAGCTGCCTATCTTTAAAATTTAAGAGTGACTTAACGAATTATACTTCTGTAACAGGTGAGATGCCCTTTACTCATTATGTTCTGTGATTTTTAAAAAACTTTTAAATAGACCACTAGGCTTAGTGCTCAGGAAAATGAGCAGTAATGTGAAATTTTGTGCCAGAAGCGTGACTCAAGAAAAATCGTAACAACACAATATATTTTGGGCTTGTATATCATGGATATTTATAATCTGGCATCACTTGCCTGAGTGCACAATTATTTCAGACTCAATGTTCTTGTCATTCTTTGACAGAATGCCTCATTTTTTATATCTTTGCTTCTAGATTGACTTATTGTTGGTTGAATTTGATGTGAAATCTCACTACCAATGGTTTGAGAGTTCCTGAGATCATTTCAAATGCGACTCATATCAACCCAAACCAAATAAATCCTGTCAACTGAGACAGATGAATGTCATGAGGCTCTGTTGTAGCTGTGGGTGGCAAGTGGTCTGGCATGGGGCTCTGGATTTTGGGGGTGCCAATGATAACACAACCCTTCTAGTCATTCTTCCCAGTCAGGCTGTCTGTGAAATGACAGTGCAGGTGCTTTTGGAGTGTGCTGGCCCTGCAGCATGTGTACAAGTACTATCACCATGCACTGTCAGACCTGATACCAAGTAAAAATAGGGACCAATGGAGAAAATCAGTGTACCATATCAGTGAAAAAATACATAATAGAGGGAAGAGTGATGATTCAAAACTTCAGATTTGCTGAAGCCTTATATGGTTCCAATCTTTTAATGATGAATCAAATGTTCTTTAGGACTCTTTAATGTATTTTGAAAGTATGAATTGAAAAACCCCTCCCAGTCTTTGCCTCTGAATCTCAATTTTACTTATTGGCATATATTGTATTAGACTGCCTTCCTTGGGGATTCTGGTGTACAAATTGGCAGATTGCTTTTGAAATGTTTGTTTTAAATTAACCATCACCAAATTGCCTGCACTGAATTAGTTCATGCAGCACCTTGCTTACAGAAGAAAATACTGATTATAAGGTTGCCTTAGATTTATAATACAAATTTTTCTTTGTGCATTTGGAAGATTTTTTAGAAAGGCCGTGTTATCTGTTTTTTATAATTTCAGATCTATGCTGCCTTAAATATATTTTTTGGGATGGCGAGTATTGGTTTGCTCACTGTTGTTGCAGTTGACCGTTACCTGACAATCTGCAGGCCTGACATAGGTACTGTCTGTTTTGTCAAACATCCTTCACTGTTAGGCTTCTGTAAACTAAGTGTCCAATTGTATTGTTTTCTTGTGAATGACTCCATAATTAAAGAGCTGGGTGTAATTAAAACATAGAGTACGATATTGCAGTACATGATGAGCAATACTGTTTGCATGGATGGTACTGCTTGTGAACATGAGAATTTCAGAGGTAGGCTGTTACTTGCTCTATACGTTGTATTTTCCTGGCAGTTTCCAGTCATTAGAAGTCATATCCATATACTGAAGCACACAAAATGCCTCAGCTGTGAGAGGTTTTGACCTCTGTCAAGTCTGCGTTTGCTTCCAGCACTGAGTCAGCACCGTATTGAATATTTTTCACTTTTCTTTATTATAGCTGTATTGGAACAGTCAATTCCTCTTTGTTCTTTCTTTCTGTGTGCATAGTAGGCATTTTGGCATGGCGTCAGGGTCAGATCTTGTCTGTATGCTGTGAGTTGAAGTGGATGATGGAATTAATGTAAGTCTGGAAAGCTTAGATGTATTTCAGTGATAGGAAGCATGTATGCTGCAGTGTTTGGGAGTGTAGTTCTCTGAGAGGATCGTTATCATTAACACCATGCTGGTTTGCTCTCACCTACTTGCGGTTAAAATTCAACACTGGAAGGAAGAAAAAGATGACAACAATTTGTGAATATATGTGTTTTGTCACAGGAAGAAGAATGACTACCCGTAACTATGCTGCTCTAATCCTGGCTGCATGGATCAATGCAGTCTTTTGGGCGTCCATGCCTACTGTAGGCTGGGCTGGCTATGCTCCAGATCCAACTGGGGCAACTTGCACAGTCAATTGGAGGAAAAATGATATGTAAGATTTCACCTCACCTTTTCTTTTAAATCTGTTCTCTCATTGAAGGTTTAGACTATTTAATTTACCACAGAATGACAATAAATTCTTGAAATATGAAGCCTAATTTACAACGATAATTTATTTTTTTTTAAAAATGTATATATTTTAAGGCAAGGCTAGATAAAAGGTAGAAAAAGAGCAATGCTTGAAAACTGTTCATAAAAAAAAAAAAAAACGCTGCACCTGTTAATAAAAGCTACAGACTGAAATTTTTTTTCTAATTCTCTAGAATTTTATTTCAAATTTCATAGTCAAATCACAATATCAAATTCTTCAGTAACTTTTCATGGATGGATATTTGTAAGTTACTGTGTTTTGTTTTTCTGTCTTATCAGGTCCTTTGTTTCCTACACAATGAGTGTAATTGCTGTTAATTTTGTTGTACCCTTAACAGTCATGTTTTACTGTTATTACAATGTTTCCCGGACAATGAAACAATACACCAGCAGTAATTGCCTGGAGAGCATCAGCATGGATTGGTCCGACCAAGTAGATGTAACAAAGGTATGGTAAATGAGGGTATGTTTCATTTTAAGCATGTTCTTTTGTGTTAGTTTTGGGAATGGAGGAACAATGCAGCCTTTTAAGCTTTTCTATTTCCTGCATTTCCTTTTTCCTTCTTTCTTCCTAAGTATTAACTGAAATTTAGCCTTAGTGAAATCTCTAGACTTGACTAACATTGCTAGATTCTTTATTCTTCCCAGATGAACAGCTGTTTTGAAGCCTGGGAACCATGTCCTTGTCTCTGCCCTCTGTCATTGTATAGAAACATACCTCATCAGTGGCCTAGGAGGATTGTCTAAGATACTTTTACTCTTTGTGTCAGCAGAGTCTTTAGGTGCTCTGCCAGGTTCACTAGTGTAACTGGTCAGAAATGGATCAGTCAGCTCTGTTTTGCTCTCATGGACTGTAAATGAAAGTGCATTTCCAAGCTTCCAAACTGTGTGCTGCTGCTTCTGATCCCTTGTTGTTTTTTTTTTTCTTCCTTTTTTTTTTTTTTTTTTTTTTTCCCAGTCTATTGAGCTTATCTCTTTCTTAGGTAAACAATAGGAAATGCGAATTATGGCATAGTATGATACATCTTGCTTGAAAAGTTTACATTCTTTTAACATACAAGAGTCCTTGAGAAAGCTTTAAGTGCACTGGCTCCTTTGATTTTCGATGAAGATATGGTTTATGGTTGGGCACAAGAAGAAAACATACAGAAATTAGGAGTAGACTGAAAAGAATGAATATTTGAATTAGTTATCAGTGCAAGCTTAACATTCCTCAGAGAATGTTCTCGTGGCTAAATTAGGGAAAGAAAACCCCAACCCTTAATTATGAACATTTTATGTTTCTGAATAACTCAGAATGCTTTAAACTGAAGATTCAGTTATAGATTTAGACTCAGATTTGTTAAGATGTGTTTTTCATATTTCACAGTTGACTATGAGTTGTATTTAAAAAAAAAATAAAAAAGATGAAGCCTTCTGGTTAAGCATAATCCTTTAAAAATGGATTACTTGATTTTTTAATTTTTTTTTATTTTTCCACAGTTTGGCATCTTCTAAGCTTTCTGTGCACTGACAATTTCTAAATAGAAATATTCTTTTATGTAAGAATCACTGTTATGAAGTTATTCTCTTACAGACATTGTGTTAGTATTGAAATAGAAACCTTCTGTGGACAGGGTACAGCTTGCTTGTTGGTTGTGCTCTGAAACAGCTCACAAAGATTTGTTGATTATTTCCATTGAGAACCAAAATGAGAAACAGAAGGACAGAATATGGGCACAGGTGAACAACGCTAGAGAACCTTACGCTAGAGAAAGAGCATTCAAAGAGCCCTACAGTTTCACTTAGTTTTGGGGTGATTTGTTTTGCTTTCCTGATTAACTTGAAGCTTCCATTCTGATTTCTAGTACTGATTCACCTCCCTGACAAAAGCCAGAAAAGTCAGACCTAGTTGATTCCACTCCTGCCCTCCCACTACTCTCAGGTTGTTGCTGTTCAGCCTGCTGGTGGCTTAATGTATCCTGGTGTCTGAGCCCCAACATCCCCAACTGCTATCTGTCAGAGGCTGGCAGAGAAGACAGTTAACTGCTCAGATCTTCTTCCATATAATGCTTGAATGTGGCTGTCATGCTTCATAAAATGAAGATAACGTTTTTAGGTTTCCTAAGTATAAGGACAGAGCCTGCGTGTCATGGAACATTTACTTTATTAAACCAGACCTTTGTTGAACCTTAAGAAATATGTTTATTGGGTTGGTTTGGCTTAGATATTTTATCTATTTTTTTATTATACGGAATGTTTTCTCCTGGGTGTGAATGAGAAACATCAATTTCTAGAAAAATCTAATCTGCAAGATGTTGAGTTTCCTTGTTCTTTCTGTTCATATTTGTCTGTAATAGCATCCCAAGATGACCTGTTTTCATTGGATTCCTTCTGCTCTCTTCAGAATAGCAAAAAAAATTGCATTCTGAGCTCTTTTTCTTGATGTATACCTCAAGACTCTTTTGAAAGGAAGCCTGTCATTCTCACAGAGCATTTTACCCAGTTTATAATGTTTTCTCTAGCAGGATTAGAAAATAGTTGTTTACATCTGGACATAGAACAGAAGTAGCTAGGAAATGTTTAAAATAATGTGATTTATACAAAAGTTGGCACTTTCTACGATGTAAATGATATTGAGTACCTAATCATTTTTAAATGTTGCATTTTATTTTCATATAGCCATTGGTAGATGTTGGAGATGTGTGGTAATAAAGACAGTAACAAATTGGTAACAATGGTAACAAAATTACAGTATGCCAAAATACAGTATGATGCATTATTAAATCCCCAAAATGAGTTTTTGCTATAAGTTATCGAGAATGATCAGATGTTTTTATTTCCATGTCATTATTTAGTTCTGGATATCTCTTATTATCACACAGATGTATGTACTTTCTGAGTTAGGTTAATCTTCAGGTTATGTGTGTGTTCCCCTTGTTTTACAGATGTCTGTTGTGATGATTGTAATGTTCCTGGTGGCATGGTCTCCCTATTCCATTGTGTGTTTATGGTCTTCTTTTGGAGACCCGAAGAAAATTTCTCCTGCAATGGCCATCATAGCTCCTTTATTTGCAAAATCCTCCACATTCTATAATCCCTGCATTTACGTCATTGCAAACAAAAAGTAAGTGTTCTTCGGTGCTGGTCTACATAACGATCATCTGTAGATTAGGAGAAACTGATTGGTGAAGAGATCAGGGGTCAGCTGCTCTGGATTTACCAAACATAACGTTTTGGGCAGCAAAATCCAAAAGAAGTTCCTTTAATCAACATCAGAATATGTTAAATTGATAAAGATTTTTGAAAGCAAACTAGTGAAGATTGTGTAAGTTCATTTTGAGAATCCTTTAGTGGTTTCTCAGAGCGACTTATTGTGGAATTTGAGTTCATCAGCAGCAGACTAGTTGTTCTAATGACTGTGGCCAAAATGTCTTACACATCATCTTAGTGAAGTGTAACTTTGGAATTCCTTGCTTGGCTTGAGATGTTCCATATTGTGATTGATTAGGAGGGACTTACACTTTCCACTAAAGTAAGTTAGTTAAGCCTATTCTTCTATATTGAGGAAGCATATAAAATGCTCTAACCAACCCATTGCCCCTGAATGGGAATTGGATTTTGCAAATAGGAATCCTTCCTTACTTTACTACCAAGCTACAAAGAGGCTGTGATTTCTGATTGGCTTGTCTCTCCTGATCCTGCTGAGTCCATGACAGTCCATCACCTTTTCACCCCATTCTCCAAACTTTGCTTTTGTCGTAGCTACGCATCCAGTCTTCAATTACCAAAAGCTGCTGAGTTTCTTGTTGTGGGAGAAATGCTTGATTGAGTTATTCCTGTACGTGGAAATGTAAAAGATTCAGGTTCTTTTGAATTCCAGATATGCAATTTTTTTTATGAAGGAAGTTTTACTAAAGTTGAAAGAAGTTGTAATACTTAAAAGAGCATACCCAGTTTGTGTTTGTATATGGTTCTCCAGCTAGTCATATTTCTGCTTTCACTTTCTTGTCCTTTGCAGGTTTCGGAGAGCAATCCTGGCAATGGTGCGATGTCAGACAAGACAAGAAATAACTATAAACAATGCCTTGCCCATGAGTGTTTCTCAAAGTGCATTGACGTCATAAAACCCGTTCAGTTTTTCTGCATAGATTTTGTGGAAACAAATTAAATCTGGGTTACAGTTTATTTTTTGGAATAACAATTTGCTTCTTCCAGTCAATTGTTTTCTGTCAATCGCTGAAGTATTTTCTAGGTTAAAGAGAAAAAACAACAACAAAAAAGCACTGCAACTTTAGTTTTCAAGAGTGAGACTTATTGGATTGATATTTCTGGCACAAACAAAAAAAGCCATTGAAGTGTTCCATGTGACTTACAGGGCTGGACAAGGTGACATCAGGGCAGGGAGAGACTGAAGTAGGAAGTGCTTAGGTTCAGTAACAGATATAGCACCTTTAATTCCTCTTGTGAATGACTTTCTCTCAACTTCACTTAAAAGTTTCCAGACGTGGATTCTCCCTGTATGTGTGTATCATTTGTTTTGCTTCTGTGAATATGGTAAGGTTATCAGAATATCTAGCCAAACCCCATATAGCTTTTTATCAGCTTTTAGGATTTTGAAAGACTCATGATATTTCATGGATTTTTGAAGTTTTGGCTCACAGAATCAAATGAACCTGTGAGATGGACAGCTTTTTTTTTTAGTAATGGTACATTTCTAGCACTCGCCCCTGCATGGTAAATCCTGAGAGTGGGACAAAATGTTCCTTGAAGTTTGACACTCAGGTGGCACATGAAATAGTAAAGATGATTTCTCATTATATCTAAGTCAATCTCATGGACATCCGTTGTGTAATTTTTGAAGAACGTTGACAATGTCAGCAATGGATTTATTTGGGTTGGAGGGGATGGCTGCAGATAGAGCTAGTGATGGATAGTAGTATACATTCCTGATGATTCTCAGATTTCGAAAATAAATATCTTTTTTTGATTGCCAATCCAAAATCTTAGTGATCCTTCAGACATGCCTCAGCCACTGTGACTTTGTGCAGCTACAGTTACTCTGTTGCTTGGGTTCTTTTTTCTCCTAGGATCTCTAGTGTTGGTCTGACAGAGTACCACTTTAAGTGATGCAGTCATCTGGGAAATCTAAATGTTATTTTTATTAATTTGTGTGAAATGTGTGATGTAATTTTTTTAGGCTTTCCAAAATGGTGGGAAAGAAACTTTTTAGAAAGTACATTTAAATCTGACTACATGAGATTTAATTTAACAGTATTTTGAGTACAATTTGCAACAACAGATGGTTCATTTCTACCATTTTGATATTATTGTATATGCATTCATCCAAAGTGTGGCTTTGCAGTATGGAGCTGTTGTTTTAAAATTTGTGTGTTATTGGTAAAAATCTGTCTTTACAGATTTTTTTGAAAGTTCTAGAGTCTATGCTTCCTATTAATTTGTACTTTTCAGTAATAAAGTAAATGCCATACAATGTCTTCTTGCTGTACTCGCTTTCTTCCCAGAACCTTGGAACACTGCATAGACAGTAACTCATGCACTGCCCCTCAGAAGAAGCAAATACATGTTTTACTATATGCTAACCATACAACAAGCACGTATTAAAATAGCCTGGAAACATGTTGTGTAGAACTTGACACAGTGTGGTGTTGTGACATGATGAAGAACAAGCTGGTTTAACAGATCCCTTTCAGGATACATTTGAAGGTTAAGCAACTAAAGATCTCAGCTAATCTGATGTAATCTGCTGTTACTAAATGGATGTCTGCATTCGCATTCGTGCTGCACACGCATGTGTATCAATAAAGTCTTCAGTTTTTTTGGTGTCAGTTGTGCTGGGAGGAAGCCATGTCTCTACTTTTTTATTTATACCTCATAATGAGCGTTTCTGCAGAAGCACATGGTTTTTGTCCTTCGCAATGCACTTGCGTTTACCATGGCAGAAGTGATGGCACTGGAACAAGGTATGTGTTTCATTAATTCTTATACTAGTTGGTTTATAGGGAAAAGGAGTAAGGATACTGGAAATAACATCCTCACATACACTGCAAATTACAGTTTATCATGGTTACTTTGAAATAATGGCATAATTTATGTTAGTATTACGTAGCTAGCAGTGTTCCTGAATCAGAGCAGATAGTCTTTGTTCTATTTTAATGGCTCTGTGCTTAACAATATCTACTTTAAATCTTCATTTTCACTGTAGAAGGCAATTTCTGACCCTTGTTTTTCCTACTACTGTAATGATCTATTTCCTCAAACTATTTGTCTACTGTAAAATGATTCTGGTTTAAATAAATACAGTAGTTTCTTTTCCTGTATTCACAGGGAAATCATACTTTTTGGTAATAAAAATTAGGTTAATTGGATGTTAGTGTGTCAGTTTTGGGAGATACTGTTTCAGCTACTTGTCACAGCACATCTAGCATAAAATGACAGGAGGAGGAAGCAAAACTGAAGAATGTAGAGGAAAAAATGGAGTAAATTAAAGCTAAGTTTCTAGATAGAAGGGGACTCTAAACTAATGCATGCAGACAAAGGAAATGCATATCCAAAGGAAAGGGAAACCTCCTGATTCCTGAGAATGCAGAGGAATCTCATTTCACTGAAATTAATAGGAACAGGAAGTTATATAGAGTCTCTAAAAAAAAGCAGATTGTTCCTGCTTAGACACCAGAAAAAAGGCTAGCAATCTTTTCTTTTGAGAAATATGCTGGCATTTTCAATTTTCAGTCTGTTCTGAGAAGTAAATAAAGATATACAAATGCTTTCTATCTTCATCATAATAGAAAACTAGAGATTAGTGTCCAACATTCTTCATTATAATAAAATGTCATACAGCTCCCATTTGAGAACATAAATGTGTGATTTACTATACAATGACTTTTCTTTTTCACTTGACAATATAACATTAGCTGAAAGGTAGTGCTTGCATGGAATAAAACAAATCTAAATTTCACATAGAAATATTGCTATTTATATTCACTGTTTCTTTAGAAAATTCACATTCTTTTTAAATTCTGTTTTTGATTTTTTTTTTTTAAATTCTGATGTTAATTTTGTAGAAGTTAATAGCATTTAAATCTGAAATACAACTTTCTGATAAAAAATGCTGATCTCTCTTTCTTTTTGGTGCTAGATCTGTGCTCTGTAATGACCCCGACATGTTTGAGATCCCTGTGAATGTTCCTGTGGATACTGTAAAACTTCGTATAGAAAAAACTGTCATACGAAGGATTCCCACTGAAGCCTTTTACTATCTAGTAGACCTCAAATATCTGTGGGTAACTTACAACTGTGTAGCCAACATTGATATCAGCAGCTTCTACAACCTGAAACAACTGCACGAGCTCCGGCTGGATGGTAATCTGATCTCAACTTTCCCTTGGGAGTCTCTGGCAGAGATGCCCAACTTGAGGACTCTCGATTTGCATAACAATAAAGTGACCAGCATTCCAGCCGAGGCTGGCAGGTACCTGAGGAACCTCACCTACCTGGACATCTCCAGCAACAAGCTCACCACCCTGCCCTCTGACCTGATGGACATTTGGCCGCCCTTCTCAGAAGTTGTCCCTCCCAAAAGCACAGACATTCTGGCAACTCAGAGAGTCATTTTGGGTATGTTAATGTTCTATCATTCCTTATTAAAATGTACCTAAACAGTAAGTTGGAAGAGAGAGCAGGGTGAGATGGGCCTTGGGTTCAGGAGGGTCCTAGTACAAGTCATTCTTCTGGCTTGCTCTGCAATTTATCTGTCCATCTATTTTCTGCTGTTGATAGAAAAATATATAGGAAAGATAGTGACCTTCATGTATATTGTTATCTCAGGGTTATAAACGTGTGTGAAATGTACTGGATTCCCGTTTCCTGATGAAATATTCAATATCCAGATAAATAAATGCAGGACTTCCACAAATTGTGCTTCTGAGGACATTTCTCTTGTCACTGAATGTGGCTGCAAACACAAGTGTGTCCACTTGCAGCTGTTTTTAGCAGTGACTCGCAAACCAGATGATGAGCTAGAGTAGATGCTTTATAAAAAGCCTGTTCTGAAATACAGTAGCCTTCCCATGACACGTGTTGACCCTGCATTGTTCTAAAGCTGACATTTCTGCCAATTCACATTGGGAATACAAGAGGAAGAATATAAAGATCCCTGATATACACAGTGTTGCAGTGCTTTTTATAGTATTTAAAGTGAGCATTTAAGAATAGCTTGGCTGGACTCTCATTGTTCATAGTTTTATTCTCTCTCTCCAATTTCTTTTAGATCATGATGTTAGTTCTTTTTGTGACCCTGTGCTCTATCAAGTTTTTGACTTTGTAGCCTTGCAGATAACCATTTACCATTTGCAGTTTAAGAATACAGCTGGATCAAGTCCATTGACAGCTTTCTTGTCTGTCACCGTATAAGTGCATGTGCCAGTGTTTCTGTAATGCAGTGCAGCAGTGGAAGGGAGGAAAACTAGCACCAGATGAATAGCTGGCTTCCCACAGTCTAGCTGCAGGGGCTTGGTACCCACTGGTAAAGATCCTCCGTACACTGTGCTGCCCAGTAATTCCACCTTCTTGATCTAAAACCATTATTAAGCATTCATTTGTTCACCTGCTTTATTTTACAACAAAACGTTTGATCTGAAGTTCTCATTCAGATGAGATTGTAAATAACTTCATAAATGAAAGTGGGCTGAGTGATTACGTGGCAACTGTAAGTTTGCAGCTTTAAAAGGAACTTGGTTAATTTGGGATTAAAAAAAAAAAAAAATCTGTAAAATTAAGTCAGCTCACTACCCCACATTGAAGGCAATAACACGGGAGCTGACTGGGCTAGGTCTAATCCTCCTTATGATGTCCTCATGTGGGAATCCCTGAGATTATTCAGTTGTCTTTGCTTACATAGCCCTCGTTACTACTACTTAATTAATAAATAAATAATAATAAAAAACCAAACCCACACACTCTCTTCCCCTTTCTCCCTTTCCCACCATTTGCACTGTTCATTGGTGCATACTCTTTGCCTGCCTCCTTCAGTCCTGGTAAACCCTCTGAGACCAACAGTGACTTTTCTAGCAACGTAGGATGTGACCTTTGGATCATTTTCATTATCATTTATGAACTGCAAGTGGGCGCAGATCTGCAGAGAGGGGTGTGCACTGGGTACAAAGCCTTGCTTCTCCTTTTTTAACATTACAGTCTGGGGAAGACTCTGTCCAGTCACTGTAGATTTCAATGGGAGAATGTAGATCCGTGGGTAGTGCTGAATAAATTTACCTCAGGTAAGCTGTAGGTAATGTACTGAATTTTCATTTGTTCACAGTATAACCTTCTTATGACTGTTTCATTACAACGCTTGCTGTATAAGAAACTCTATAGTGAATCAGAAAATGCTCTTTTTCTTTGGAGATTAGAAATTTTGAGTGCTTTTTGTGTAACCAGACATTTTCACAAGCTTTGTTTCCACTTGGTGTTGTGTTAGCTTTATTATCTGTATTACTGCAGCTTGGAAAGTCGCAGTTAGGCCACCCATAATCATTGCCAGAGGCTCATTCTTTGGTCGCTGTTGGACTGTTATGAAACAGTCAGTTTTTAGGAATGAGTGGTAAAAAGAAAGAAAGATGCCCTAGGAGTTGAGGTGCCTCTATATTGCTCCAGCCGTAGGAGATGCTGGCTCAAAACAACAGGAGTGAGGTGTGCTCTGTGACATTTTTTCTTCCCTGACACCCTGTTGGAGCCTGAGGGAGGAAAATCATATCCCATTGATGCCTTTCCTCTTCTCTGAGATGGAGATAAGGATCATAGAAGTATGTGACCAGGAAGGAATGCAGATCTAGATGAACTGAACTCTGCCTACCCTTTGGCAAAGAGGTGGACCGCTCCAGATCCTTCCCTGGCAACCTCTTCCAGTGCTTATCTTTCAATGCAGTGAGAAAGTTTCTCTTAATACCTAACCTCAATCTCCCTTACTGCAAACTAAGCTGATCAAGCTGATTAAGTATTGTCCTACATGAGATGAACATGCAGAAAAACTAATTGCCTTCTCTTACAATAACCTTTCATACATTTTTCTTCCCTGATGGCCTTTTGCTTTCTTAGCTGGTTGCACTATTTCTTTCAGCTATTTCCTACAGACTATGAGTTTTTTCATTTCCTACCATATTTACTGGTTCTCTTTGGCCACTTTTTTATTTGGGGAGGGTGGCGGGAGGAGTGGAAGGGACCGAGTGGGCAAGTGGGGAGGAAAGAGTTTTTCCTTAAATGTGATGCCCATGGTTACACATAGTACTCATTCTGGTGCTCAAGAGTAGTTCTCTGCAGGAGAGTTCAGTCTGGCCCATGTACCTACATGGAATGGGTACCAAAGCCAGAGCACTGCTAGAAGCTGGAAACTGAAGCAAATAAATGCTGTTTTTGTCTAGTTGGGAAAATAGCAGTCAGATTCTACTTAGTGTAAGTACTTATGGCTTGAACTCGCTCATCTTCTACTTCTGGCAAAACAAGATTGTCACTTGTATTTAATTAACAATATCAACACCAGCAAAGCCCTGAATTCATTTGTGCAAATGTATTTTTTTTTTTTAAACACCAGGAGGCAATTTTATCTGGAATGTCTTGACTGAACATCAAGAGAGCTGCATGTAAGAGAAAGTTCAGGTTCCCTGTGTTCACTTCGAGGCCTCTTGGAGAAGTCAAAGTGACTGGCAGATTAGTATATCTCTTTATGCCAATTCATAATTTCTGTCCTGCAGGGTGGTTTCATTGCTCCCCACTGCGTGATGTTCCTCAGTATGCACACTATGCTATGTGAAGAGGGATCAGGGGATGATTCCTGGCCCTGTGGCTGAGTGGTTCTCTCTGTCTCACATCCTCAGAGTACAAAGCCAGCTCTTTTTTTTTTTTTTTTAAACCTGATTGGCTGTTCAACATTTTGCAGGACTATTGGTTTTCTGCAGCTCTGATGGGATGTTCCAGTGTCTCTGAAATGTGAGTAGGTGGGGATGTCTTTTTCTCAGTTCAATTTGACTGAATTAAAGAGAGAATGCAACCATTGTGCTTTCGTACGATGAAACAGTATGCATGTTACATCCCTGATGGGCTGGCAGGTACTGCAGGATGATTTTGAAGGTGCAAAGCCTACTGCACGTATGCTAGGAGAATGAATAGGACAGAGGAAACCAACCTTGATACAATCTCATTCAAACTCCCACCAGGAAAAGGTCCCTAGAGGGTGCTGGCTTTGTACACTTTGGAACAAAGCTGTGGAATGAGCTGACAATTAAACAGTGGAAATAATAAAGGAACAAGTGTGTGAATTCAGCTGTCCCTATCTTGGTTAGCATGGAACTTTAACCTAATACTTTGATCCAAATCACAGCTAAGTTTCAGCATTGGCTGCTGTACAGAAATTGATATTTCTGGCATGAATGATGGTAGCAGTATTTTCCACATGGAAAATTAAATCTAGCGAGTCACTGAGAGGAACAGAGGAGTCCAGGATTTGACAGAGTGGCAGTAAAATGAAATCTTGCTCTGCTGCTTGTAGAGATGCCAAAAATTTGAAACTCAGCAGGTCCATTGGGTTCCCACTGGTTGTGCTGGGCTACGAGGTAGATGATGCTCTTCCTGGAACTTCACACTAGCTATTAGTGTGTAGGAAGCACTGGGACACAGTGAGGGAAGTAGAATTTACTGTTTAGATCCATGGGTCAAGATTTTGTAGCTTCAGTCAGAAGAGAGTATTTGAGAAGGTTGGTTGTTTTGATGAATGTTTCCATCAACCCCAAACTTGAATATTTCATGTACTATCATTTTGCAGCAAGTGGAAGTTACGGTCTAAGACCAGCTACTGATTTACAAGGGAAACTTTACTCACAGCTATTTCAAATGCTAAAAGTTGACATGGTGTGGGAAAATCTTGTTTACTGAGAAGACTGCAAAAATATGCATGCGTAGATGCATATATGCATATTCATTATACATACGAACATGTGTATAAGTGTGTGAAAGTAAACTTCAAATATGCTAAATCTGGAATAAAAGGTTTTTTTATAGAGTAGTTTGTAATCCTTATTTAATTTTAACATACATTGCATTGGTATATTGCAATGCAAAAATATTTATCAATGTTATCTTTGCTTTGGTTGATATTTCTCAAGTCAATAAGCTGCTTTAATACCTCTTCAAAAGAGGCATTCCATTAGATATATATGCCACTGGGGACTTACTAATTTTTAATTCTCTTCTTATGAATTTATTTTCCTGAGGGAATTGTACCACATTACTTTATTAAACTTCTTCTAGTTTCTTCAGTTTGTAGCTTTTTAAAAAAATCTTTTCTTTATTCTTTCATATGTTCTTTCTCACTTCTATCACTTTGTAAACACAAGTTGTTAAACTTCAAAAGTTTATTCCCATTTCTGTTCTCTTCAGTAGCTAACTGAAGCGCAATCAAATTCAGTGTGTTATCCTTGTGTCCAAGTGCTTTCATCTTTTTATTTTGGGATTTTGTGTGACTTGATGACTTACAATGGCTCTGCAAGTTTACTGCAAATAAAGTGCATACTGCCAGGTATAGGCAAGATGCAAATAAATAGAAAGGATGAGCCACAGAAGTAAGGGAGTAACTCCTGTAGCAGTAGGTATTATCTGTATGTATGTCCTGCTTCTTCAGCTGGTTCCTCTGGACACTGTGACAGATGGGGGAGATGAGGTGATGAACTGAAATAACTCCATTGCACTGAAATACAGAAGCAGGGAGTCCTCTGGGACTGCAGCTTTCTTCATCCATTGAAACCAGGCCTTCAGAACAATCTGAGACAGTCAAACCTGTCCTGGACTAGACTGAACAATCACAAAATCTAATGGCTTTGTTTCACCATTCCTTCTATTTTGCCTGTTTCATTTAGTCTTTTTAAGTTGTAACATCTTTAGTTCTCCTGTTTGACACTGGGAGAATGTGAAAACCATGTATTCATATATTTGAAAGACCTTTTGCAGTACTATTAGAAACAATAAAAAATCTATCCTTTCCTGCACTGAAGCTTGCAGGAAACAGAAGGTAGCATAAGATATATGTTAGTATCATTTTGCATAGAGACTGTGCTGGAGAGTTCACATGCATTTCAACATTATTTGGTACAGAGGGACTGTTGGTGTAGGGCTTGTTTCCAGGTGGGTCTTGATTCCCTTCTTATGCATTAGGGGGAATTTCATTTTCAAATACTCCTACAGCCTTTTCTGCTTGAGATGATAGGGAAAATTGAGAAGCAAATGAGAATAAACAAAATATAGGAATATATTCCTAACTACCAACTAAGGTTGCCCAAATTAAAAGGTAAGTACAAGTAGGTAGGTGCATATTCTTAATTGGGCAGAGCTTGTATAAGGAAAAAATTGATATGCTTAGACATATGGCAAACAATCCTATGATATCACTTCTGCTCTGTAAATACATATTTGAGTTTCAATGAAAATTAGTTTTATATTTTGGAGATTCTTTTTTTCTTAAAGCAGAGCTGTTGCTGATAAGATTTCCTTGATTTCTCCATTCCTGAGGGCAGTAGGTGGTGAACAGATACAAAATCTCTTGTGTCTGAAAGGGGTGAAATTGGATTGTGATGTCAAAGTCAGGGAATCTCTTCAGGTCAAGTCTTGTTTTAAAAACAGGGATTAATCAGGATTTATCACTACTTTAGCCAATCACTGCTATGGTGCTTAAAAAAACCTAATCTCAGTCAGGTGATGAAAGGAACTAGTAGTTAATTATTCATATACTCTTTTATCAAAAGGTTTCTTCCAAAATGGAAGGCAAGTGTTTTTTTTCCATTTGCTGATGTGATAATTCCTAAAAACACACCCTGAGAAATACTGGCAGGTGTTTCATTTTTTCTTTTAACTGTGAATTAGTTGACATGACTTGTATCTTGTGCTAGTCAGTAAATTCAGTAGTGAGCAACTCTTGCATACCATCCTCCATTTCAGTCTGTGAGCTCTACTTATTGCTAGAGGTAGAAGAAAATGGAAAAATTATGCCCAAAAGTACAAATCAAGGGAGAAAATATCTGAACCAACGGGTGACACACTGTGCAGATTTTTACCTAGTAAAGTGAGTGTTGCTGTGTTGAGGTCCACTGTAATGGACACCACCTGATGATTTAGACACTTTTCTCAGAAGTGGCTACTCTGTTTTGTCATTAGTAACTTCACCAAGTGCAGAAGCTTCCCATTCAAAGGCCTTAGAACCAAGAAGAAAATGTTATAGCCTATAACAAAAGAAGAGACAGTAAACTTCTATGCCACCGTAAAAATCATTGTAACTGTCAGCTTTTCCCAGGATCCTTCCCATTTTCCTCTATTCTTTTATATTTGAATGTTTCCAAGACTGTGATAAATTAAAGCCAGATTTCTAAGAGTATTGGTATGGTTCAGAGCCAGACAAGAATGTTGTTGGCCTAGAGCTTTTTCTCCTTAGCCCATATTCTTTTTTCCCATAGGCAGAGATGTGGATGTAAGCTCTACCCCCCCTTCCATCATGTTCTCTGCAAGCACAGAGAAGATTAAACTGTATGAGCCCAAAGAAATACTAAAAGCAGAGGAGGGTGACAGGGTGCAGTAACTCTGAGAAACTCTCCAGAAGCCACAGACAGGTGAAAATGTGTCATCAATCTTAAGATATCTTTTCAAAGTTTTTTTTTTTCTAGATAAATAGCAAAGTTAAGCAAAGGTAACACCAATTTATTACTGTGCTCCTGCAAATTTATGCGAAGAAAAGACTTAATAAGCATTTTTCGTCTTTTCACCTCTGCAAAAAATATTCCCTCCCTGTCAGCTAACAGAGGAGAACAACAGAAAAATATTAAGTCAGAATAGGCTCGTGGTGATTCTTGATTGTACTTGATGGTAGTCATATGTCATATTTAAATTACAGCATTTGAATATTGCCTGACAACACTTTTTTTTCCCTACTCTTTCTTTCTTCAGGTTTGCAGGACAACCCATGGTTTTGTGACTGTCGCATTTCAAAGTTAATTGAATTTTCCAAAATTGTGGACAACTCAATTGTACTTCTTGACCCACTGGTTACATGTAGTGGACCGGAGAGCTTGGCAGGGATCTTGTTCCAGAGAGCTGAGTTAGAACAGTGTCTTAAGCCATCTGTGATGACATCAGCAACCAAAATCACCTCCCCGCTGGGAAGCAATGTGCTACTACGCTGCGATGCAACCGGATACCCAACACCACAGCTTACCTGGACTAGGTCAGACAATATACCAGTGAACTATACAGGTATAATAGCTCTTTTATAGAAACAGCTCTTTTATAGGACACGAGAGAGCCTGAAATTACTGGGTTTCCTGTGCTTTGAGATTATTCTTATTAGTAACAGTGGACTTGGTATTGCACCATTCTGGCAGTCACATCCATGGAACAGCTATTAGGAAATTCTTTTTCCAGGTCCAACAGGTTGTTCTGATTCTGTTTGTGATCTGTAATAAGAACTGTGTGTGTGTGTGTATGAAAATGGATGAAGGAGGGAAGGATGAAGGAAAAACAGAGGTTAGAATAGTTGGGTAATAATTTAGAAGCTGAGAAGCAGAAAGTTACTGAAATCTCCTTTTTCATTTGAAATCTTTGTGATAATAGAAAAAGCTAGTGAGGCTATAACTGAGCAACTTAAAACATAGCACTATAAATTAGGGATTTTCCAAAAAACGTTTTCTTATTTGCAAATGTTTACTGCTTATTTGCAGTACCCACCTTGAATGCTAAAGAGATTGCGAATATCTAATATCATTCTTGCTGTAATATGCTACAGTACATCTTTATGCAGTAGTATCCAAAAAAAGTTTATTGTTAATGGCAAGTAGCTAGCAGTTATCTTAACTTTTAGTTCTGAAGAGAATAATAGTCCTACATATTGGAGTATCTTATGATAAAGGTCACTTCTGACATTTTTTTTAAATAGCTGTTGTGTTCAGTGTCTCTTGAAGTCAGGGAAACTTACACTTTGTAGTTGTTTGGCTTTAAGATGTTTTGATTTCTCTTGTTCTTGTTTTACTTAATAAAACTAAAAAAAACTATCTTGTAATTCCTCCTGAAATTCCATTTTGACCCAGGCTGAGCACTTTTCTACCAGAAGTTCTATAGATAGCATGTATGTGTGTTTTTTTCATTTTTAATACTTATGCTTCATTCTGATAGAAATAATTTCAGAGAAAAGAAAAGGTAATCTAATGATTACTTTCTCTTTAGCTTCTTTTTAAAATATTTTATTCTTTACATTTTCTTGTAGTAATTCAAGAAACACCTGGAGAAGGTGTCCGATGGTCCATATTAAGCTTGACAGGGATTTCATACAAGGATGCAGGGGAATACAGATGCAAAGCAAAGAATTTAGCAGGAATGTCAGAAGCTGCTGTTACTGTCACAGTGGTTGGTGTTGTTACTACAACCGTGTTGCCACAGAAGTATGGAAGGAAGCAGGAGGCTGAGAGACAGAATACCACACTGGAGGAATCCAAGAAGGAACCTGAGAGAACAACCACACCTCTTCTGACCACATCAACCACCACAACAGCACAGGTTACCACTGAAAGATCAACAAATGCCAGGGTTACTGACAAGAAGCAATCCAGGTCCATGGCTGATGGAAAGAAAAATTCAAAGACAGTGACAAATGGTAGCAAAAAGCAGACTGGGGACATGAGGAAGAAAGGCGAGGAGGCAAAGCAGACTGAGGAGACAAACAAGAAAAGTGAGGAGACTTCACTTAAGGCAGCAGCTACAGCTGAGCAAAATATTACTGTGATGGACCTAAGGGTGATCACTGAAACAGATGAAAGAGTGACCTTGACTTGGAAAACTGTCAATGCCTCAAGCAACACTGCAGTGACTGTGTTATATTCAAAGTATGGAGATGAAGAGATGTTGCCTCTGAGCACGGATTCTAGCAAAAACAAAGTCACAATTGATGGTTTGCAACCTAGTACTCAGTATATGGCATGTGTTTCACCCAAAGGAGTGCCACCTACAAAAGAGCAGTGCATTATTTTCACTACTGACATGTTAAATGATGAAAGCAGCTCTCAGTTTTCTATTCTGATAATGGGCAGCAGTGCAGCATGTGTAGTTGTTTTACCTTTGATAATTTTCTTACTCTACAAAGTTTTAAAACTTCATGTGAAACCCAAAGCTCCTAAGGAAGCTGACCTTGCAAAAGAGACTTATGTGAAATTTGAAACACTCTCTCTCAAGCCTCGAGCAGTGAATGCAGGAGGAGAACTCTGGGCAAGAAGATACACAGATGAGTCAGAAAGACTTCTCCTTTGTTCTAGGTCAAGTATGGATTCTCAAATGACCTTCAAAAGTGAAGGCTCTAGGTCTGAGTATCTGTGTTGAACAGGGGTGAGGATGGAGGTGATGGAATACACAACAGGTAAAATTATCCAAAGTGATGCCGCATGGGAAAGTAAGTTGGTGTCAGGTGGTGGTCAGAATATATCATCTGATGTCACGGACCCTACCAGATGGGTAGAGTGGTGGATAGGAGAGGGAACTGAAGATATTTTTTTTTGTACACTTGTGACTTTGAATATGAAGGAATGGCATTCTTTGGAAGATAAATATAGCATAAAATGGTTACTTGCTTAAAGTTCTTCTATTTCTGCTTTAATTAAAACATCATTGTTTTCTCTCATTTAACTGTATGATGTGCTCATTGTATGAATCAAACATTATCACAACTTTCATTTAAAAAATTATGTATTTAAAGATGATAGAAAAAAAAGCTTAAATCATTTTTATTGAAGCTTTGAAAATTTGTCATACAGCTCTGTTTGTATGAACTGGAACTATGAAACTATGTAGAACTGGAGGTGATCCTAAGCAGCCGCAATTATGGATTCTTGAGAGCTGCAATATACATCATATCATCATTTTGGGGATGCTGTGGTGAAGGAGCTTCTTTAGTGTCCTGAAACTTGGGTAAGATGTCATTATGAGCAACTCTGAGTGATACCATGTACTGATACTGTAAATTTACAGCAAATGATCTTATTACATAATCCCAGCCTTAGAATTTACTTGCATTCATGTGGCTATATACCTCAATTTCAAAAATCTCTGTAGAGAGAATTTTGTGGCATTTTATAATACAAAACGCAATGTCGCATAGCAGTGTATTACACAGATATTACAAAGTATTATATACTACACTGGAGTACTATAGTATATTTTGAGATACAGTAGGAGGAGGTCTTGTCCTCCGGCCACACTGGATGCCTAATGAAGTTTAATGAGCATAATCAAAGTTAACTGTGAGTATGCTTCCCAATCTTTAGAAAATCCAGCGTTATTAATAACAGTGAATGTAGAATTACCTGTTACTGATAGTAATGAACTGTCTATTCTGAAGCTGCTTTTTCAATACTTGAAATAAATAACAGAACTGCATTGTTTAAGGTTCAGGTATTATGGTTAGAATAACGTGTGAATTAGGAATCACATTTTTTCCTAAAAATGGAAACCATACTGTTTTCTTGGACCTATTTATTCCTGGAAGAACTTTTTACTTTGTTTGGAAACTGGAAATCTTCTCTCTCCAAAGCAAGAAATGTTGCCTAGAAGCTACAAACCAAAGGTTACTTAATTAAATTCAAAACAGTGGTATCTCTTAGTGTCATTAGTATAGCATTACATTTTCCCCACTGGAATGTTGGAGAGCTTGCCTTGTTTAAAGCATAGGCTGATGAGGATAACTATTTGTCATAAAAGCAACATGGGTCACGGCAGAAAATAAACACACTCCAAAATTTCCATAGCATCTACATGTCAGGGCTCTATAGTCAGGGATAACAGGACCCACATCTGAAACTAAGAGAGCTATGCTAAGGAAGCAAGTGAGATATTCAGAAGTGCAACATTACTTTATCCTCATGTGCTTTTAGAATTGACCTTGTTGTTTCTTCTGTGACTAGTGTGTATTTGTGGTTAAAAAGTGTTCTGTCATCTTCCATAGATAATTTTGATTTCAACAAAAATATTTTTAGTTCTCTCAGTGGAAGATTTTGACTTTGGAATTGTGTTTTTTATTTGGCATTTTTTAAGGGAAGTAGTTTATTGTGTCAAAAACATAGTTTGTCTGAAAAGATATTTGGGATAAAATGTAATGAGATCTGATGCATTAACTTGAAGTGTTACATTATTTGCCTTCTATTCTCCATATAGATAGTAGAGCCAGCAACTGTCACTGAAGGTTTTCCCAATTTTCATTAATAAGAGTTTTTCATTAATAAGAATAATTATTTTAACCTTTATTTTAATTCTTGGAGAACATTTGATTTTATGTTTCAAAGCTCTGTGAGAAACTTGAATCTAATTCTAGAGTGACTTTTAGATGCTGTGTCAATATACCAGACTGTGGTAGTGCAGTGCTCATTTGAGAGAGCTTATTTGTAAATGTGAAACCTGTTGGTTTGACTAATCTTTGAGGAATTAATATGTTTTATAGTTAGGAATGAGTTAGGTCCATGAGTGCTGTCAGTATATTGAAGATGAAGTGTTCTATGAAGGGCGTGGTTTTTTCTAGAAAACACCATACACGTTATTTTCACACTTCCTGAAACAATGGAGGTATATAACCTGAATGTGTATCTATACCTCATGTCAAAACTTCTGATGGAGAATTTAGATAGGAATTGATCGCACAGTAGATGTGCACACTGCATCACCCAGATTTGGCGTAACTGAAGAGCTGAAGAAGTACTTCTTGGAACAGATGAAAGTTTTTATACTGTAAATTCTTAAGATTCATAATAGAATCATTATAAGATAGATTTCTGTTGAGATTTTGTTTGTATTTGTCTAGTGTCTTTTGAAATGCAATGCTGAGTGAATCATCATGATGAGCAGTGAGTGACTGCAATCTATGGTTGGCCAGGAGAATCTCTTTGGAGAAGATTTGAGCAAAGTTTGTGTGGCCTTTCATATGTTTTTGCACTTTGTTGGCTCAATTAATCCCATGTTTCACCAGAAAGATTAGAAACCTTTTTATACATTACCTGCAATGAAATAACTGAACTGCATTCCAAGTAGATCCAATTTTTACTTGAAAATTAAAAGGGTCTCAGCACTCATTACAGTAAACACAATCCTGTCTTCAATGTGCACTTACTAAGCCCGACTTTAAAATCATGTTTTAGTCCTTGCTGTTACCCACATTACCCACACTAGATATTCTTTGCACTACTTTAGAAATCTCATACTTGTCCCAGGTGGGGGATTAGGAAAGAAAACTCTTTCATGTGTACTGTGAAAATGTCTGTAATAGCAAAACCATATATACTTGGGCTTAGTTGATAGACTAAGGAAAGGATGTTTTAAACTCATTACCTTTTCTCTTTACTCTTAAAGAAGTAATTACAGTAATAATTGTTTTGATGTGAAAATAAAACTCTGTTTTTATATCTGATCATGTACTTGCCTGACCCTTCCTTCTTCAATTATAGCTTTGGACTGTATGTGATAACTGTGAGAATAAGAGGAAATCTGAGAAGAAATAAGAGAAAATACAAAAGATGGCTGAGAACTTGGAGGGATAATATCCTCAAGAATGACTGGACTATGTGCTGCAAAGTCTTATGCACACAGGGGTATCTGCAGACAGGCAGACATCAAAGGATGGTGAAGATTCTGCCTGCACAGTACAAGGAGAGCTCTATACGTATATCTGACAAACTGGGGACAGCTATAAAATAGAAGTATGGAACAAGGGCACTAGGGGAATTTAAAAATGTGCTTGAAACTGGAATTAAAGTCTGCTTGGGTACATCAGAAGCAGAAGAACCATCCAAAAGGACAATTACTGGTAGAGTCAGTGCAGCTGTTATGTAAACTCAGTGGCTTGCCTATTCAGTAAACAGAACAAGTGCTTTGTTGGTATATTTTTAGTCTTTCTATTCACTTAGACATACAGTTTTATGAGTCCTTTAGAAGAATCAAACAGCTGTTTCTCTAATCCTTCGATGAGTAAATTCCTAAACAGTTCTCAAAATCATGTTATTGCTTAACTCTCTAGCATTTATTCTCCCAGATTAATGTTGTTTGATAAATAGGAACAAAATAACGTGAATAGTCTGCTTTGTAAAATTTTCCAGTGTCTAAAACAACTGTACTTTTGTTGAAGAAAAGGGATATTAAGTCCAATACTTGTAAGTACATTTTTTTCTGTGAGAACCTGATTTAATTAATGGTGCTGAAGTCTAAAGCCTTGAGCTGATCAGATTGGATTCTGAGTCATGTGTCCTGAATTTTATGCTGCTAAGATTTGGCTGAACATTGGAACCTCCAAAAATAACCTTTACCAATTATATTTTGTTTTGTTTCATAGCCTAGTCTCCTGTGTTTAAATTACAGAGGGAAAAAGAGGGCAGGTAAACAGTCAGCTATGGGACATGGAAAATTAAATTCATTAAAATTGTTAAATTTAAATTTTATCCTGCTTTTTTGATAGAATGTTTTTCTATGTTAGACTAATCCCACAGTGTGCAGCTAGCTTCAGATTGCATGTGAATGACATTATCTGTGGGTGTTTTCATGGAGCAAACTCTTAGATCTTGAGAGACCTCTTAGTTTCTCAGTGATTACTTTAAAAATAAAAATTACTTTTCCACTCCTTGTCCTTTAGTGCAAATGTGATGTGGTGACATGGTTTCCTTCCTTCTGAAGCAGGAGAGTGAAATAAAAAATTTTAATGCCCCTGCCTGTTCTGGAACTCAAACTCATAGATAAGGATCATCTTCACCTTGCAGTTGCTGCCACATTTGCATTACATCAGTGTACACAAAGCATTCAATTCCTAGATATCTCTTCCAATCAGTCTGTTTTCATCCTAAAATTTTAGTAGATTGTCTCTAATTATTTCTCTACATTAGAAAGAAATCTTCCTAGAGGGATACAGGCTCATTTTTGTGACAAAAAATGTTATTTGTTCTTTATTTTGCTTGAGCATTCTTTATTCTTTGATAGAGGAGCAGACATTCCCTTTGGATATGGTAATCAGCAGCAGAAACAATGTAAGTCACGTTTTTCACAAGCCAGACAAATAACGTTCATTATTTTGGTAAGGCACAATGATTGAATAGACATCATCCAGCATTCATACATGGAGTATTTCTTTGTGACAGGAGAATTCATGAGGCGAGGTTTGGAGAGAGAATTAATGCAGTTCCTTGTTTATTGATAAAGAAAAGTGACATTTTCTTGAGTTTTCAGTGATGATTTAGCTCTACAGATTGACTGAAATGCTTCACATTCTGGCAGAAGTTCAGCTTGTCACAAGTTGATTAAACTTTTCAGTTTCATATTGCTGAAAATTTGTGTAGAAGTGAAGTGTAAATCAA